AGACAGACAGACAGACAGACAGACAGACAGACAGACAGACAGACAGACAGACAGAAGTATGTGGGGGGTTTCTTGTTTGTTTTTTTGGTAAGTGTTTTTTACAGCCTCCACAGAACAGCCTCCATTACTGTACCTCCTTGACTACAATATAATCAGGCACAAAATCAAAAAGAGGTTAAATTTTTACTTTCACTCCCGCACATAGATGTACTGCTTTGGGGATCAACCTGCAGTACTGTTTGCTGCAGATCACAGCTGCTAAAACTGTCGCAAATCAATTATTTTCAAGAAAATTTCAAACCTAACTGCAAAACATCAAATTATGGGTTAAAACAGGGGCAGGCAGGCATGCCCCCTCTGGAACCCCCCAGATTTTATTTTTTACTTCAGGAGGGCCCCCCCCCCCGATGGATCCAGAGCGCACACATTACTACGCAATTAGGCTCAATGTGATATAGTGCGATGAAAAAGCATCAAATATTTCAAAAACTATTTTTATTTGGCCGCCTCTATTTCTCTGAACGCTCAAGAAAATAAACTTGAACTCTATTTCTCTGAACGGTTTCCGTTCTCGAGATTTGTTGATAATTAGCGGAAGGAGTGGCGTGTGTGTGTGAGTGAGCATGTGTGTGTGTGTGTGTGTATATAAGGTGTGAATGGTGCAGGGGCATGCGAGCGTGGAGGCATTTTTTTTTTGTTTACATGAAGGATTTTAGTTCTTGCTTTAGGGGTGACTAAATGCACTCCATCAGGCGAAACCCATGTGGCCTTGTGAATCCTCTTGTGGAGAAAAACAAAGCCTCCAATGACAAAACTGTTGAAAGCACACATATATTTGTGAATCGCTCACCGTTCTCATTCAATTGTCCCAAACCATGTTGTCCCATAATTCTTTCAAATCCCACGTTGTCCTGACCAATCTTGACATTGGCATCTCCCATTATGATGTTGAAATCCTTCCTTGGTAGTTTGTCGATGATCCCCTGGAGCTGGCTGTAAAAGGCATCCTTGTCTTCATCCGAAGCATCATTTGTGAGGCAGCTTGGTGGAATCAGGCTCTCATCAAAATAATCAAAATGAAGAAACCTGCATTTTTCCGAAGGTTTGTGAATTTTTATCAAATTTTTGTTTTTTGGCTCAACACCTTTCATGTCCAATGAAGAACACATTTCTGAGTGGATATTTCTGAATAACGTTGATTAAAGGCACAGAAAAAGTAAATTTTCAGTTACCAAAGACTCTTAAGCTAAGGAAATAACTAGAGGTGTGCGAGTAACGAGTCCAGGCTCGAGTACTCGAGTAATACATGCGGCGAGTCCAGACTCGAGTCACAAGTAAATTACTCGAGTAAGGACTCGAGTAAGGACTCGAGTCCAGACTCGAGTCTGTAGGGGAAAAACAGAAAAAAGGAGAAAAATTTGTTTTTTTTAAAAGTTAAGAATTGATAAAAGAAAGATTCTGATAAGCAATTTTTTAAAACTGAAGGAAAAGGAACAAAAACAAAACAAAAATACCCCTTCCCCAAAGGAAAAAACCGAACCCCCCCCCCCCCCAGAAAAAAGCAAAAAGGAAACTACTGTTAAAAACCCACGATGACCAATCAAACTTCTTTCTTTTATGAAGTGCATTGTCTGAGGTTTACAGATTGTGTACATTTTATTCTTACTGTTGTAACAAAGAATTATTTTAAAAAAATAAAAAATAAGATAAGATAAGATGAAGACTACCTCTATTCTAGCTTAGTTGTTATACAGTTGTAAGCTTCTCACTCACCCGGGGTGAGAGAGCGAGCCTTTTGGCTATTCTCTTCATGTGTGCGTTTACCGTGATGTGATACCCAGTGTAAACCACAGAATTCTAGATCTACACTTTAAAAAAAATTGAATTCTGTCGTGTAAACAAACGTTCCAGTCCTCTTGTGTTAAAAACATGCAATTTTATCTGCGGGCATTGAAAGAGAGAGAGAGAAGGAGAGAGAGAGAGAGAGAGAGAGAGAGAGAGAGAGGGAGAGAGAGAGAGAGAGAGAGAGAGAGAGAGAGAGAGAGAGGAGTAGCCTAGATATAGCGAGAACTTCTGGGCAAAACAAAATGCCGATTAGGGTAGTTTGGCTCTATTCTAAAAGTGAAACAGCCGTAGCATCATTGTAGACCACCAAATTAGTTTTACTTTTGTTTTATAATATCATTTTTTAAAAAAGGGGTTTGTCTATTTAATCATCCTCACCGATAGGAAGTATTCAGAAATTAGGAACACCCGGTTTTGTTTCACAGCGGGTGAGAATAGCCAACACTGGCTAGTCTCACCCGGGGTGAGAGGTCGATCACATTTTTATTCTCACCTGGGGTGAGAATAGCTACTTCCTAAGATAAAATAAAATAAATACGGTATAAACAGCATATGACTAGAATTGCCATAAGCCTACTCAAGCTCCCTCCTAGGAAGGCACTCTATTTTCTGTCCGATATTCAACAAAACCTTTTTTGAAACCCACTAAAATTCCCTTTCGGGATACTATTACTCGAGTAATAACTCGAGTCTTAAGAGCCGTGGGACTCGAGTAATTACTCGAGTAATTACTCGAGTCAGAGCAGATACTCGAGTCTGGACTCGAATCTTAATATGCTGGACTCGCACACCTCTAGAAATAACAAATCTTTGGTGGCCATTTTCTCACTAGTTTTATCTCAGAAAAAATGTGACCCCTACCTCCTTCATTTTCAAATATCTCGACTTGCATTCAAGATAAATGGATATTTCTTTCATACAAAAAAAGGTAAACGAACAAGCTTTAAGATGATATCAATAACTCTACATGCCCAAAAATTGACAAGAGCCTGATTCCACCACGTTGCCTCACATTTGTTGGGGCGTAGATTTTGACTATATTCATGTTGATGCTCTTGTTCCTTGTAAATGAAGCCATGATGATCCTTTCCCCGAGTGGCTCCCATCCTCTAAGTGACTTCTGTGCTTACTAACTCAAAATGATTCCCACTCCTTCTGCATGGTACTAGTCTTCCTTCCCAGAATACAATACTTGTTCCCCCGAGCTGAGCTGCTTCGACCTGTCAAGACTGTACCCAGTGTGTTTCGCTGACTCCTAGTATGTGCAGCCTGTATATCTTCATCTCTTGTACTACTTGAGCACTTTTTCCTGCTTAATACAAGGTGCGAACATTCCACGACACAATCCGAAGAAACTTGTTCGACAGAGAAGGTTTCGGGTCATAAGAATCCTTTCGGCTTTGTCCGCTGTCCTTCATTGTTCCTGCTGATGCAGAAGCTCCTACGTCTCCCATAGCTGTGTTTGTCCGTGTTTCTGTAACTTACTGTTTTTTACTGGGTTGGGCAGTTGGCCCTCCGCAAACTGGCACTTTTCTGGCGACCTGACCTTTGCACTTTTAGTCGCCTCTTACGACACGCAGTATCACGGTAGGTGTATTCTTTGCCAGGGGCGACTCTATGCCCCCCCCCCCCCCTCCAAACCTTTCTTAGGTAGGCCAATGAGCGACAGTCCTGGGTTGCCTAGACAACCGGTACATTACTACATGTTTTACTAAACAAGGCTATAGCAGGTAAAAAAAAAATTGCCTAAACAATGAAAAAAATACAGGCCAGCTAAGCCCACTTATTTATGCCAAATACATCAATAAACAACATGTTTCATTCCCACACCCTAAACCATACATGGGCCCGTGACCCCGTGATCTCTATAAAAACACACAACTAGACTAGCCTAGAATCTAGGCCTAGGTCTAAGTCCAAAGGTCGAGATTGAAAAACCGGCGGAAATGTGTCGAGGCCTAGGCCAAACGGGCAGCTTGAAAAACCCGGCGGAAAATAAACAAAA